TTCATGGCCGAATTCTCGGAGAGAAACTGCAAACTGATCATCGTTAATTTTTAACTGCATACCGTGACGAGTGGCGATAAGCACAAATTATCGAAAATTTAGGAAACGAAATTGATCATTGACATAATGGATCGAGCGAAGTGTCGTTACGATATTAATATGATAAATCAATTTATAACGCCTATGTCCGTTTCTCTAATTCTCATAAAAATTCTCAATATATCTTTAAAAATTTGATTGTAGCCAATTGAGCGGGGCATACCACTGCTAAATGTTGTACGATTCAGTTTCCTATGTAAATTCGTGAATAAAGATAATTGCTGCCTCCTGAGACACCGCAGCGTGGTAAAAGAGTGGCAGTTATCGCCCCTATGTGATCTAGGAGTTACCTTTGCCGTTTAAAAATTCGTTTACCGACGAGCGAATATCAAGCAAAGCAAATGAAGTTTCAGTTTAAAAAGTAGGCATGTTGTTTGCAGTTGAGTAGCGGGGATAGGGCAGTCAGTAAATAGGTTACATTGCAACCGCCCCCTGGTGAAATTGGTAGAAATAGCCTTGAATGACGTGAATGATTAAACGATAGGTGCTAACGACCAATGTTTTACTTCCGATCACGGAAATCAAACCAGATCACTCCTATTTGAAGGTAAGTAGGTGCTGCCGCAGGACATGACACAAAGCCTTAAATAAAAATAGAAATATCGCCGAGGGTTCAAACTCCAAGCAACACACCCAGTGATGTGATTCTAGCGGGTTGATTGGTGAATTGTAATCGAACGAGTTTGATCGATTAACCCCTATCCTCGCAATACTACTAATCGATAAGATTCATACGATGACGATTTAACAAGCCTGGCGCTGAATTCGATTGATAGATGAAATTGAAACGGATTTCTGTAGAGCGACCAAAACTTGGATTGCATTTTGCAAAAAGGAACCAAATGCATTCCAATGTCACTAAGATTGTGCAACTTTTCTTACTCGCAAATAAAAACTGATCACCTGAACAAGTTACTTTACTCCCAAAAAACTATAGATTCGAGACGAAAATTACTTTTGTAAATTTAATTTCCATGCATAATTCCGGCACTTTTTTTTCAACGAATATAAGTTGCACAATTCTAGCAACATTGAAATGCTCTTGGTTCCTTTCTGGAAAAATGCAATCTACTTCTTGTTGAATCAACACAGCTTGGAGTCCGTTATTTTTACTCTGCCGTGCTATGGAAAATCGACGTATGAGGATTCAAAGGTTGCCCAGTTTCTTCTCTGAAATTATTTATTCTTGAAGGAGATTACGAATGATATTCGTTGAAATTTTCAGGCTCATTAGATAAAATTGCGAACTAAACTCTCTGTAAAATCGGGAGAAAAATAATTATAAATTTTCCCGAAAATCCGTGATTAGTCGAGGGAAATTTAGCAACGTCTGGAGGCTCATGGGGCGTTCTTCTTTAATAGGACAGCAGTACTGACGAAGCGAAGGTCGGTTCATTTTGTTTATAACGGGGATGAAGGTGAAGGAAAATAAAGAGCGAGATTGAAAAATTGTTTCCAGCCTGTGTCTGTTGGAAGGGGGGAAACAATAAAATACGGACGGTGCCCCGCTTATTTGCCCCGGTATTATTAAATCGGTACCGACTCCTGATTACACTGGCGTCAAATTGAGTATTTAAAAATGTTGCATTTCCGAGGAAATACACTATAAGTTCCTATTCTATAGAATCATATCCAGAAAATCGGATTTCACTGATCTCCCGAAACTGTGTTCTTATTCAGTGTGAACAGTAACTAAAATCCGATGAAAACACACCGTTTATGAATCAATTTTCTGAAAAAGGGCGGAGGTTAATTTTTCAAAACTGTTTACTTTCACATTTTTAAAGTCTCTGGTTATCATTGCCATTTTTTCCAAGAAAGCAACAGTATTCAGCTTCTGGAGGACGAGTTTCAGAGGCAAACGAAAGCTAATGTCAGAAAAAGGGTTTCAAAAATACGCATTTAAAACGAGTTTGAAAAAATGACTTAAGTCCTATTTAGAAGTACTGACTTAAATCAGTTCTGGATTTTCTGAAGTTTAGATTTCCGATTAAAGAAGCTATCATTGATGATGTGAAGAGGGAATAATGGATCAGTTGTACTGGCTTGATGCTTAATTCTTGTAGATAAGCTGAAAATAATAAGACCTGTCCAAACGGCAACTCTCTACATTCAACACTAACCGAGAAATCGCGCTTTGGAAAACTCGATTCATGACATCATCCACTGCGGTTGTGCATACGATATGATTTCTTCCACCTCGCTTTCATCCGCGTTTGACGTCGAGTAAACAGTGCAAAAGTGTGTCTCGCTGGATGACGAAACCAAAAAGGAAGAAACCGCAGGGTATGCACTGCCGCGGTGGATGACATCATAAACCGAGTTTTTCATAGTGCGATATCTCGGTTGATATTGAACGTGGAAAGGTGCTGTTCGGACAGATCTCATTATTTTTCCGAGACTCTACAAGAGTCAAGCATCTAAACACGATTCTGTGACCAGCGCAACTGACCCACTAAAAAAACAAAGATATAGAAACCGAAAAGAATAAATACGAAAATGTGGCATCTTATGCGCAGAGTTTGTTGTCTTGCATTGTCTGGTTGGCTGGGTTCTAACTGCAATGCAAATCCACTTACTCGGCGTTAAGTCAACTGACGAGTTTTTTCTTTCGGAAGGAGGAACTCGGAGGACTTGAGTAGTCAAGTCATAGTTGCTGCGTAAATGAATATAAACCTGCCTCTCGTGCAAGTGTTTAAAATAGGATTTTTACACGAAATCCGGCAATACACGACCAAGTTCAGTGCTGCCGTGTTAAGGAAGAACGTCGTATGAGCTTTCAGGCGTTGCCCAGTTTCCTCCGATAAAAACCGAATTTACTGAGAAAGTTGTGAATATTATTTTCCACAATTTTCAGACAATTTTGTACGCAATTTCATCCAATATATCAGAAAATTTCAGGGGAAAATATGCATGTTTGTTGTCAAAAATATCATGAGAAATTTGGCAACTCTCGAATGTTCATACGGCCTTCTTCCTTAGCACAGTGGGTGCATGCTGCGATAGATTCGATCATTACTGCCGAGAGAAGGAAAAACGCAACGTATGAGCCTTCAGTTTTCTCTAATAAAATACGAATTTCCGGGGGAACTCTTATGGATCATTTTCTCACACTTTTCGGAGAATTTTCTTCGCAATTTCAATATCTGAAAATTCCAGAGAAAAATGTTCCTCTAAAATCAATGTTCCATCGAAAGAAACTTGGCGACATTCAACTGTTTATATGGCGTTCATTTTTAGCACAGCAGAATCCTCTCGCGCCGCATGCAGGATCGATTGAATCAGAGAGGTTAGCCATAAAATTTTTGCCAAATACTTCAAAAATTCAAGTTTAATTCGTCACAGTTTTAATTTTAAGAGATGCTTCTCGATGAAAATTTCACGAAGAGAGCAATGGAGCCACTTTTAAACCTTCAAAATTTCGTATGAAGCGAGTCATAAGCTTAAGAAGTTTTCAAATTTTGTCCGACCTCTCCTGTTAACTCGATCCACTGTGACTCCTATTGACTCGATCCACTCAAAAATGAAACAGCGGAAGAGAGACAAAAACTTTCTTAAACAGTAAACAGCAGCGGGCTTTTAGGTGTTCAGAGGGTGCAAATTTGCTCTCTTTTGTGCTTAAACTCAGTGTGAACATGAGATGACACATTAGAAATGCTGTATACTTGGACGCTTGCTCTAACCCTTGAGCAAGACCCAGGTGACATTGTGAGTCGAGATTCGAGCCTTGATGAGCGTGGGCGCAACCCATACCCATTTCGGAAAATTTTACCCATTTCGGCAAAAAAGAAAGTAGACGTTTCGGCAAAATTATTTCAGCACATCGAGGGGGAAAACGGACCGATTCGGCAAAAGACCAATATCAGTAAGCTCACGGAAAGTTTCAGAAAAAATGCCCAATTCGGCACGAAAGCTGACATCGGTGCGATTAGAGGAATGAATGGTACGAACTGGAATGTAATCGTAAACTGATCTCAAATGTTGGGTTGAACTTTGTCCTAAGGTGACCGCGGCTGTCTATTATCATTTGTAGGTATGAACATCACTTTGGATGTAGTAAACAAGTTCCATTCAGTTCGATGTTATCGTCGGTACACGAAAGAAGAATCGCTCATACGATTAATAACTACTGCGATATTTCGTGTTTTTTTTTTACATTTTAACGACTGCGATTCCAAACCAAACGCTTAGAACACCTTCAAATCAGGCGATACTTCTCGCTTCTCCAGGAGGTTAGTTTAGTTGCGTGACCCAACCGAACGCTTTGAACGCCTTCAAATCTGGCGATACTTCTCGCTTCTCCGGGAGGTTAGTTTAGTTGCGTGACCCAACCGAACGCTTTGAACGCCTTCAAATCAGGCGATACTCCTCGCTTCTTCGGGAGGTTAGTTTAGTTGCGTGACCCAACCAAACGCTTTGAACGCCTTCAAATCTGGCGATACTTCTCGCTTCTCCGGGAGGTTAGTTTAGTTGCGTGACCCAACCGAACGCTTTAGAACGCCTTCAAATCTGTTCAAATAAGATGCTGCCGTTTCATCTGGGGCAATGTTGGTGGCGGAACGTAAAAAAAAGTAAAGTCCTGGTTGAAGCTTACAAAGACGAGCAAAGTGAGAATGGAAAATGGATAAAATCTTTCTTCGGTCTGTCTTATTTGCCCCCCCCCCCCTCAACGAAGTACCACTTCCGTTTGTCGATTTCCTACGCCGAATTGGGCATTTTTTCTGAAACTTTCTGTGAGCTTCGTGATATTGGTCTTTTGCCGAATCGGTCCGTTTCCCCCCTCAATGTGCTGAAATAATTTTGCCAAAATGGGAATCACCCGATGAGCGTGAGCCTTAATTCAGCGAATTTTAGGGAGCTAAATTGCTTGTAAACAAGTAGGATTGGTTGGAACGACTTACCAGCTAGTTGATTCCGCGATTGCTCCAGATCTTTCACGACCTGTGAACACAAATTCAATCAAATGAATCATAAGGATACCACTTTTTTGTTAAAAGGTAGATAGAAAAATCCCCCACCACTATTTTTACGCATTGGGAATGTTCGAAATTCATCTGCGTGAGAAATTTGCGGACTTATATAAGATTCTCGCTTCAAACATTACCACGGCAAAGGCATGGACGGATCAGTTGCGCTGGCTCCAGAATCGTGTTTAAATAATTTAAGATTAAAAATTAGCAAAAAATAATAACATCTGTTAATAACTTTGTTCATAGAAGGTCTTCATACCATACGGTATGCATCATAATATGGTGATTTTCAGTGTCTTCTTGGGTCTAAAACTGGCCTGAACACAAGTCTGAAAGCCACGTCGAAAGTTGCGAGTTCCTCGACATTCATCGCACTATTTCGTGGTGACTTCGTCGGAGATCCATGAAATGTCCTTTGAATATGTTCGTTGGGGATGAAAGAGAGGCATGTTTACCAATTATTGTCGGTAACAAACCTTGCACTCATAATTTAAAAAAATCCCCTTTCAAAGGTTTTAGTTGTTAACCTTCACTTACTATTGCTTGAAAAGCGAGATCCATCGTTTGTCAAAATTAAACTTTTCAGGCAAGATTTGAGCGTAGAAAGCCGCAGACAGCTAAAAACTCGCAATTTTTACTAGAAAGAAAAGCACATTGGATTTAGAGTCCAGACTCTTGAAAATATCGACAAGAAAAAATACACTTGATTCAATCAGATTTAAGCTTAAATTAAGAACCAAGCTTCTTAATTGGAGCGGATTTCCTTTTGACTTAAGCTTAAATCTGATTGAATTAAGAACCCATTTTCTTGTCAATGTTTTCAAGAGTCTGGACTCTAGATCCAATGTGTTTTTATTTTCCAGTGTTGCTAAAAGCGGCCTTCTGACCCACGTTAAGGCCAGTGCTCGACCTGAGAGGACACCAAAAATGACCAAATCATGACGCATTCCGTAAAGGGTAAATCTTAAATGAGCGATAAATCGTGAAAAATGAAGGAAAATCAGGGTGGGCTCAAAAAACGACCACATCGGCACCCCTCCTTTAATACGCCAATTTTCAGACTCCTATGTGATGTGCTGATCGTGATTTTTGCGAAGATTTCTGTGAGACGCAACTTTCTTATTCGCTTTGGCAAAATTTTGCAATAAACCCATTGACGGGCAGATAGTATTTTGAAGGAGCAGGCACAAAAGCGGGCTGATTGTTGAAAATAGACAAAAGCGACACAGGCAGTATGGAGCTATCCTATAGGTTGAAATGTGTGGTTGTTACAGACCAAGGGGGTGAATGATGGACTAAGTAAAGGGTCTCCCATGGGTTGCCGTTAGTTGGTCTATTACCACGTCTTTTGTCCATTGCAACCACCCGCTTCCACCAATAGAATCCCTCCATATCTTTTTTGTCTCCTTCATCAACACCTTTGTCCATCAATTTCAATAATCAGCCCGCTGTCCATTTCAACGATCCGCTTCCACCAATAGAATGCCTTCGTATTCCTTTTGTCTACTTTGTCTATAGTTTTTTCTACCAATTGAAACAACGAGCCCGCTGATCAAGTCATAGGTACTTGGATCCAGAGAACAGACATTTATGGAATCATGCGAACAGGGTCATTTCCATTCGAATCCAATTTCCACGACCACACGCGCTTCGCTCGGACCGGGAGCAATAACAATAAAGAGGGCAGGCGAAAAGAGAGGTCGGGCCACCTAACCTAGCGCTAGTTCACTGGTTAAACGCATTAACAGGTGTCGCAACGACTGTTACACTCGTGATGTCGGTCCTCACCGCGCCGCACAGTAGAACCAACCATTCAAAGGAGTCAAAGACTTTTCTCACTAAATCAGCAACTTCTTATGTTTATAGTGTCAATTTATAAACTTTTAGGGGTGATCCTATGAGGAAACTTCAACACAAAAGTTTGGTTAGTGCGAAAAGTAACATACAAAACAACGCTAGAAAATGTCAGGAAGTTTTCTTGGAGAAATTAAATGAAAAACCATTGAAAGGAGTCACACTCTAAATTTTTTCCAAATCTGCTAATTTCGATTTATTTATTTTTAGGAGTGATCCGAATAGGAAAGGACACAGTGAAATTTCATCACAAAAGTTCGGTTAATACGGGAAAAGAAACACAAAACAACCCTAGCCTTCGGTTGACAATTAAAAAAAAAAAAATGTGTGCTAGTTTTCTTGAAGAAATTAAGTGAAAAGCAAAAGGTGAATACGAATGTCATAATCGGAGAAATTCATTTTCCCAGTCCCTTCATCGTTTTCGGCGCAAAATTCACCGCAAACTGTACCAAAATCAACACAAAATTTGTGTTGGTTTGTCCTACATTAATCAACACACAAACACACAAATACACAAGCACAACATACACAATCCTAACATAAGTACACACTCACACATATTTTTATCAGGGGACGGGTATCGATAAGGTCCATTTCTGGAGGCCCACCCCAGCCTAATTTTATCGACTTTGAGATTGTTTCCTCATTTAGGACCTATGTTTTACAGAATGATCATAATTTGTTCATTGCAGGTCTCTTTCCGAGTGTAATCCTGGCCTAAACATGGGTATGCGCGCCAATTTCAGGGGAAAATGCAAGCTTGGAGGGTTTGCGATCAAATGCCGAAAAATCCGCATATTTCGCCAAAAATCGGCCTTTACACCCATGTTTAGATCTGTGATAGACCCGAAAATGACCAAATCATGATGCAGTCTGTAAAATATAGACCTTCCGTGTGCTGAACATGAAGCTGCAGGAATCCAGCTAGGCTGGACCAAAGAACAGCTTTCTTACGGTGAGCAAAAACGAGTAACGATTATGGTAAATGGTTATGGTTTACGAAGAAACCGATTAAACCACTTTTAAACCTTTACTTTATCTATTAAAGAAGATGAGCTCTTGAAGCTTTAAAAGGTGGCTGGCCTCTTCCATTCACTGATTAAGTGGCTATGTCAGTCAATGCATCACGATAAATACCATAATCGAAATCCGACTGGCCCATTTGAATTTGGATCAATGTTGCCGCGCTTTTTGAGCGTGGTTTAATGGGTCTCAGTCGATAGTCGTTCGATGTATCGTTTGGTTCAAAACAATAGAACATAACATCAAACCAAAAATTTTAGGATATTTGTCAGAAAAGCTGATAAGCAGCAAATTTCGTAGCAATTTCACTACTCTTGGCCAATCAGTACTCATACGAATCAAAAATTCATCACAAAAAACCCTTTCCGTCAGATTACTCAATTGACTTTTGAGGCTATGTTTATGTTTTGAACCAATCTACATCGATACAATCTCACCCGTTCGATAAATCGAATACGATCTATTAAAAAAGCCAATCAGAGATTTGCATTTTTCAAGATTGATGTTACGTCTTTGTTTACGATGGAACCATCGAATACATCGATCGGTATCTGTTTATTTAGCCACGTGGCGAACTGCAACAAAAATTGTTGCAAATTGCCACAAACTCTAGGTGCTGTGTGGCTAAATGAAACAAGAAAAATTAGTGTGGCAAAATGCAACAAAAATTGTTGCAGTTAGCCACTGTGTTTGGAATGGTTCATCAAATTTAGCGAAAAAAAATTGTTATTTATCCTCTCATTTTTATTTTACTGCAGTGTAAGTGATTATATTAAGAGTCTGGAATAGATTAAAAAGTATAAATAACCAACTTTTATTTTAATAATTTTACCATCCTCCACTAGTGACCAATGCAATACTGATTCTACTGTACGCTGAAATACATGTAAAATTTACTAATTGGAAAGTATTCGGAGGATTTATTGACCACATGCGTGCAGCTCTTCTTCCTTAGGTTAGGTTAGGTTAGGTTAGGTAAGGTTGGGTTAGGTTAGGTTAGGTTAGGTCAGGTTAGGTTAGGTTAGGTCATGTTAGGTTAGGTTAGGTTAGGTCAAGTTCGTTTCTATTAGGTTCGGTAACGCTGCGATGTAGATACGTGGTTTTGTCCTTTGGCCATGTGGCTAACTGCAACATAATTTGTTGCACTTTGCCACGTTTGCCACACCAATTTTTCTTGTTTCGTTTAGCCACATAGCACCTAGAATCTGTGGCAAGATGCAACATTTTTTGTTGCATTTAGCCACGTGGCTAAATGCAACGTAATCCATCGATCTATCGAATGACGTAGCCACTAAATGGATCCACTGTGCGGCGAGGGTTNGGGGGGGGGGGGGGGCTTCAACTGAGGTATTTTGCACTTTACGTCGTTCGCAGAGCCGCTACACTTTGCAAAAGCAACATTCCTACGACGGGTTTTCCTTTGCAGATAGGTGGTTGTCGTCGAACACGGTGGAGTGCGCGAGAGTGGTGTCTGTGTCGTCGCGTCGACTCATGCGGCTGAGTCACGCGCTCGCTAGTCGTCGTCCAACGACACGCTCCCCTCGTGAAATCCCAATTTTTTCAATAAAAATCGTTTCGTATTCAGGTGTTATGAGCTCGCGTTACAGAGAGAGAGAGAGAAAGAGTATAACCGGAATGGAGAATTCGCAGGTGTCTGAAATTTGATGAATTTCGTGTTCACGCGGAGACTACTGAGCGAACGGAACACGAGGATACTCTCGGTTCATAACTTGAACGATTACTGAAGTAGATGCGGCGAAATGATCTAATTTGCCAGGGCCATGTGTTTAAATGGAAAATGCCGCCGGATTACATCAGAAAACTGAACAGTTTCTCACTTTTCAATCTATTTTTATACTATTCCCCAAAGTAGAGCACAATGGACCACTAGACAAGGTACGAATTTCAGCATTCTGATACGTGTTTCTCAACCAAAATTTCACGTAGAACACGATACGCACAACGAAAAGTACCCAAATCAACTCCTGACGAAGATATTTAATGATTCTTGATGCGTCAATTCAAACCACCCGCTCGTGAAAACTCAATGCTCTACGTGATTCACATCGCGCGCTAAATGTTTATCATGACAGT